TAGACAGCACTGAGTATCTGTTTCTTCCTGGCATGTGACTACTCCTAAGCAGTAATGTGTGCACACAAACGAATCAGAGATCGAACCCAGGGCCTTCAGTTTTCACAGAGAGAAGTTCAACCGTCAAACTAGTGAGTTGTTTAATTCACAACTTTGAATGTGTACATATAAATGCATTCATTTATAACAAAAAAAACTAAAAGAAAAACAATACCAATAGCATTAATGATATAATTACAACAATAATATCGATATTCTCAAACGGGATAACAACTATGAAGATGTAGAAGACTTTCATCGTGTTTATTTTTCTTCTTTCCTTTCTCTATTTGCATATTTTCAAATTTACTTTCAGGGTTAAAATTAACAGATCATAAATAAAAAAATTCTTTACAAGACATAAATACCAAGTAAATTAAATCGAAGTTTATTTATAGGATCATTGAACATTTAAAACAGAAAAAACGCTATTGAATACTGAGAGAGAGGGAAGTGGGAGGACAAGAAAAACAACAACAAGAGTTAACCACAGGATGAATTATGAGACAAGTTAGTCAATACCACTAAGTGAAATAGTAAATTAATTCATTATTTAATGACAATCAATAAACGACAGACAGTTTAGACAAAGAAAAATCACACAAAAAGGAAGTACAAATAATTATATATGTATTATTATATTATGTAGTAAATTATAAAAGTATTTATGTACTTTTCCAAGGACTTGGAAAACCAATCTTTCAATACAACTAAGAGGAATTATCAATAAAATATTATTGTGTGAAAAATTGCTATGTGATCATATCATTTACTATGTATGAGTCTATGTATTCGACGTTGAGCTACTGTTTGTGTGACACCCATTGATACTACATAGTTGCCCAAATCGAAGGAAGTCGAACAGGGTTTTAATTCAAAGCCCAACGACTGAAACCCGAATATCTTAGATGCTTTGGAGCATATAATGATTTTAATGAAGTGCAACTATATCTTGATGACCGTAACGTTTGGTCGGCAATAGGTTAGGAACCCGTCATATCTATTACAGTTTGGATCACATGATAGAATCGTCAAAAAGGTTTTGTACTTAGCTGGTAATTTCCATTAACAATCTTACCATTAAAAAAGAATGAATTACTTAGAACAGGGTGAAATCGAATAACTTAATGCTTGGTATGTACTTTATCGGAATTATTTCCCTTTAGGGAGGTAGTTTGTATTAGGTTGATATCATATGGAAAAACAATGAAAATTAAGCAGTATTGGACATTGGTTCGTTCTAATTTAGAATTTTTCAGAATCTTTCCTCATCATGAGAGCTGAAGACGTAGATGTTTTAGCTTTTTTAATAAGATTGAGGTATGCATTGCTGAAAAAGCTAATAACTAAAATGAAACTATTATTCAGAGCGTCCTATTTTTGACTTGTCCACCAGTCAACAAAAACAAAAACAAACTATTTTTTGATTCAAAACAATCTTTTTACAGAATAGGAGCTCTGAATATTTTTCCGTTCATTTAAAGGATGAGTGTTGCATACAAGAGAATAATTTAGATTGAAAATTTCATTTGAATCCTCAACTTTCATTTTATTTACTTTTTTCATCCGTTAATTTGGGATGCGCTACAGTGGTGTGTTCATAAAAGATAAATGTGAATAGTTTCAAATAACAGAAAATGAAATCTCCAGTGAAAATTATACTCTTGTATGGCACTAAAAAAACGGGAAGATGTTCAAAAACGCTAGACATTACGCTTTCACTGAACATTGAAGTGGGATGATTATACCTACACCTTACAAAATAATTAAGTTCAATTACTATACATATATGCAGGATGAAGTTTTGTAGTCCGTTAATCTGACTCATCGATCGATGAACGTATATGCTATAAACATAAATCTCCCATTTAACTCCGTATATTACCTAGACTAACCCCCTTCGTGTGATGTGGTAATAAGAAGTTAAACACGGATAGCGTTGGATAAATTTACTACAAACACTCGTTTATCCAGACAGACATTTAGAGCGATAAGCTGGAGAACGAAGCGATGTGCAGATGGCATGTGTGCTAACTCGATCTGACCAAAAGTGATTAGATATTTTAGTCAGACAAAAATAAGCTACAGACATGTAATGGGTAGGATAAGCAATGCACAAACATGTCTTCATATGAAAATTCAAGGTTAACAAGCGAATGATTAACAAGACCAAAATGTGGATCAAGAAAATGAATAAATCGACCTGTCCGGAAACTAGAATGACGCATGTGGGCTTGACATGAAATAGACACTACGGCAGAAAAAAACGAAGATGACATATCCCATCTTTCATCGGATGCCGTACCGACGTGAACATACACAATTTAAACCGTCACCTATGTAAAGACTGATTTATGATATGCATTCAATGTCAAATGAACAAGCGATGTACTAAATTATGGTGATTAACAAATGTTTGAAATAATTTCCATGTACAGTACTAATGAAATTAAAGTGCTTTTTGTTCTAATTTTCATCCACTCTATCCCTTCAAATGAGGTAAAACCTAGATCCATAGCATATTGCATTAAATATGAGAGTTCAGCTGTTCAGTTGGAATTTGTAAGAATTGAATAAATAACTTCTGAAAAGCTGAAACAGACAATTGTCACTCAACCACAGACACATGGCAAATCTAACAAAAATAAATTCAAAGATATAAAAATAAGCATAGTTCAACGATGGAATTTTTTGCTATAGACGTAAGTGACTATTTTATTGTGAGAGTTGATTGGTTTCATCAGTGCTAAAAAAACAGAGATGAATGATGTTATCGTTACAGGTGATTTATTATTAGGATAATAAATAAGTTATTCTTAATTTAGACGAAAAGGTAAAGGAAAGTCAAATGAAGACAATGAGTTAGAATAAGAAATAGAAAGAAAACTGCTAAACCTCCTAGACTTGAGAGGGAGTTCAAGCACTGCAGTTTTAACTATGAAATCTCAATACATCGAGGTATAACAATACAAATGTGTCACTTATCAGCTAGATGATTAAAAGAGAAGAGGCTTTGTGAAACTATATTTCACCAGTGTAACAACGCCTGGGAAACACAGAATATTTCACTTTGAAAAGTAATACTCTACGTCAAGTGGATTTTTAGGAAAAGGATTTATATACTGAAGAATATTTAATTACTACAAGTGAACTGAATAATGTAGGCGTTTAGTCAAGAAAAATAAAGCACAGGTTGACATCAAATTCACGAAGGAATATGAACGTGATAATCAACACTTAAATTACAATAGTTTTCTCCTGTTAGTTACAAATATTCAGTCAAAACCCTATTTAATAGGGCTCGAATGTCATGTTCAACAAACAATACACAGGAAGAATTGGCATAGTACATGTGCCTTAAACATGTATGTTCAAAGAAATTTATTATGAAGTACGGAAAAACGATAACGTAAATTCCAAAACAAACATCTACTAACGGAAAACCTTCCTTCATTCGTCTTGGATTCAAAGGTGAGGAGGTTTCAGGCATGATTGATAAAAGGGTCAAGACAGCGCAAAAGATAAGCTTCCTGAAGCCCAACTAATTATGGTGTATTGCATCAAATTTTCCTTAAATCAATCAAAAGTGAATCAATACCATTCTGAAGTCAACTCTAAATGTTTTCGGAACATATTTTCAGTATGTTGTGTCTAAAAGGAAGTGAACTCTTCACAAGTGCGACCAATAAACACCTAATGCATGGTAAACACAACGTGGATGTCTAAAAAGGATTCAAAAGAATTAACAGACAACGTACATCAATTTTACTCCGTCTCACAGAGGTCACTGTCATCAAGTGCTTTCGACCTCACCTTTGCATACAGAAAAAAAGTGGTAGACCTACCATTGCCAAGATAGTTAAATTATTTTAAAGATTGTCAGATTCACTATTTCTTCATTATGGTTTATAACATGAAGCAAAAAATATCTCACTAATATTCACACAAGACGTTAACATTTATGTTATGCTACATAGGTGTCTTGATTATTGGTCATTCGGCAGCAATCTGTTCATATTCATTGTCACTTTATTACCATTTATAACTTCATTATGCCTTTTTATGATTTCATTTTCAACATATAGATACAAATGGATGGTGACTATTATGTTAAATATGTTGTTTCTTCTTGTTTCTCAAGTTGTTTAGAACCAAACTTAATTGATTATGGTATGTAATAAAACATATTTATGATACCACTAATGTAAATATAAGCCGTTCGTAGATGATGAGCAGCCTTAAAACGAATTCATTTTATTCTGTAAATATTATACTTCTCGCTTGACTTTAGAATAAATCAGTTTACGTTTAGGAAAAAAACACAAAACATAGTTGTAAGTCTAAATATGAGTGTTGCTAGATCTCACTAATCGAGTATAGATCCATGCACTCGAACTTTGAAATACAAATGTTACACAACGGGATTACATACAAGATTAGGTTGTTATTGTTTCAAAAATCTTATACGCATTATTTCCCGATTAAGTGATCAACTTAGTTGTAGGATTAAGTGGCATAATCTCAAGGTAAAGAATAACATTGAAAACAATAATCAACCCATTTATAGTCCTAGTATCAAATGGCTTTACGAAAATACTAGAATACAACCCTTATTTCACTTACATCTATACAAAAAATAATTCGGATTGATGTAATACTTATCTATCACATTAAATTAAATAATAAATATGAATCTGAAACATTTACTGGATGGATCAATGTTATTTCCAATGAACGAATAAGATAAATCAAAGTACGTTAATTATTCGAATCATAGACGTACAGAATTTGTTTCCGAACTGCAAGACAATTGTATGAGTCGAGAGATATTGTATGTATCTATCAATAATAATCTTAAAATATCCGTTATCAATTACTGAAGAAAGGTTCTTGCAGAAGAAGTGAATAGAAAATACACATTGAAACAAAAACAATATTATATATATAATGGGTAATCTTACCCTACTACGTCGTGAAAAAATTCTCCGCAAAAACCCTGCACCATTTATAGGCATAGAAGGATTGCGTAGATTTGACGCACTATAATTATCACTAACACTTGGACGACGGCTACAGTTACTACCAACACCGACTCCACCATTGTGTAAACCATTAGTTGATGTTGTTGAAGCATAAGATGCAGAGTATATGGAAGCGGATTCACCATAGATTGAGTCTCCAATGGAAGTGGAAGATGATGGTACATAATTATTATTATCATTATTATTGTTACCACCACATTGTTTACTCGATTCCAATGCTGCATTATCTGCTGCCCATACGGAACAGTGAAAATTCGATGGAAGAACAACACTACCCGATGAATAAATTGGTTCACTTGAATTAGTTCTTTGTGGTTTTGCATATGTTGACTGTTTAACGGTTGATGGTATAGTACTATTATTCACTGCAGATGAATATAGATCCACAAAAGCAATATCCCCAGGCGGTGGATTATTACTTTGTAAATATTCTATAATTTCTTTAGAATCCTAGTTTGCATTAAAAATAAAATTAAGTACATGACCAAACTTTAAGATACAAATATTAATATTATTACTATCACTAATACTGTTATTATTGTTGTGAACGTAGTGAGCGTTCATCAATTCGACTTTGTGTTAGACAACTACAAAAACAAAGAACAGAAAAATAACTAAATTAACCAGACAAAAAAGAATCCGATCATAAGTGATCTGAATGTCAGAAGATTCAAATCTCCTAGTGTTCTTCCGCTAGACAACTGCAATTTATGCTTAAAGACCTTATGTGATATTGGTCTAAAATCGATTGCAGAGGTGTAAATACATTTATTTTCTAGCTTCCCGCAAATCTTGAACTTAGTATTACACCATATATAATTGATTCTGTCTAGTCATGGGACTTCCCAAGCTTGTAATTTAAGTTGTGTGTGTGAGCAGCCAAAAAGAATGTGTGGATTGCCCAAACAATCAAAAGTCAAATGCCCATTAATTTTTTAACTGGTTTTGTAAATGCATATGATCCATAAGTGCTACTTTTATCAGTCAACTTTACTTTTTTGCTATCCTGTAAGGGAATCATAGTACCCGAATGCAGAGTGAAACTGATATTAATCACCGGACATCAAACGGTGGAGCTGAAAATAACCGAGAGGAACAACTATCCATCTTCAATTTTCTCGACTGATAACAAATCACCACTCGGAAAACAATAAAAACACAGGAACACTATATTGTACGATTATTCGGAGAAATTCATCTCACTTCACTGTTTTCAGATAAATGTACCTTCAAGAAAGAAAAATCTTTATCTTAAAGGGATAACAGGACTCCGTAGCTCAATGGATTCTGCGTTGAAATCTGAAACGAACGGCAACAAATCATACATTCGAAAAAGCTTGTTACAAAAATGGCCATATCAAAGCAATCCTGTGAGGATGGATACTTACTTGATCTGAATTAAGATGTGTACACACTGATTTGAATTCATCGCATACATTGTTCATACGATCAATTGCCACTCGTAACCGTTCATATAATATATTGATTAAAGATTGGGTACGTGCATATCTTTCAACTTCTAAACTTTTGCCAACTTGTGCCCATGATGGTAAACAACGAAAGTAATAATCTTGACGGTATAAATTAAATTGGTTCAAAGCAGCAGAATAATCTTTTCGTGCTCTCTCAAAATCAATCTCTTTCAATCGTGCATAATTTAAAGCCTACACACATAAATAAAAACAAGGTATGAAAAATTGAATTTATTCAGTAAACCACTGTAATACAAGCCTAAAAACTGGAATTAACAGTGAAAAAAGGACTGCAGTTTATGCAAACAAATAAACAATTTGGATTATTGTTGAGACTTTGGAATAATTCATTTGTCTCATTCTGTATCTATGTTAGGCTTTGCTTTTTTTAGTTCAGACAATGCAATTAGGTCCAACATACCTTAAAATGTGGATTGAAGAAATTACTGGCCAAAATAAAACAGCATTAGTATTGACCTCTAATTATAGACACTGATAATTTAAAACACATTCTTAAAGTTTACCTTGAAAAGATTTCAGCGAAAAGTATTAATCTATGAAGCTAAATACCACAATCAAGTTGTAGTATTAATGATCGTAAGATTTTTACCACATGTAATATAATCATAATGACTGGTAGATCTTATAATTAAACCCCGACATAATTTAAGGGAGAAACTTACTATGGAACAGATGTAGTGATTTATGCGGTAATTTGCCTAATTTGAAAATATGTATTATCATCAACCGATATCAACTAGGTAAGTAATATAAACCACACAGAGTACTGAACAGCTATACATTTTATAGTGGTGCGTACCATTGATGAACCCCTAACTAAGACGAATATCAACTTATGATGTAAATTATCTTAACAAAGGCTCATTAGTAAATCAATCATAATCAACACATCCTGATACAAATGTGCACAATCCCTGATTGTCATATCACATAAGCACAGAAAAATGAAATTAATAATAATAATAACAAAATAGTCCAGTATCAATGATCTTGAAAACAGATTTTCCAAAAATATGGATTTCAGTAATAAAAAGTGAAAAAATAACATTGCAATCCAAAACTTAGGCGAAGATGGAGAGTGAATGCAGTTGTGTCATTGTGAACGATTCCAAGTAGTGTTACCTAATACCTCTATCCACTGATTGACGTTATCAAGCAAATTTGCAGGTAACTTATGTTATTTTTAAGATAAAGTATATGAGTTGAATCATAGCTAGATTGTTTTGCATTAAATTTTTAACCACTAGACTACAGATTTGTACCAGATTCTACTAATTCTTTATTTTCATTTATTTATGTTTATTCATTGATCATAAGGTTTTCTCTCTTCCGTTTCGCAATATTGTGATTTTAATTTGTGTGACATAGTGTTGAAGAACTGAACACCGTTTTTGAATTCTGGATAGATGGATAGTATCACTAAGTTCGCACATATAACGTGTAAACAAGAGCTGAGTACATGAATCCATGTACTTAGTAGCTAAATTACTTTTTGCTATTATGATTTTTTTTTCTATGGACATTGGTTATGAAACCGATAACACAATGTTTGTACCGTAAACGCCCGATCATGTAAGCGTCGGTCCCCTAACTACTAACCAGGATATCAGAAAAATAGACTGATGTGCCGAAGTACCTTTTATGAAACTTAGAAAAACACGTGATCAAGCAAACCAGACAGAAGAAAGCGATGCACCAATTTAAGAAATCTCAGACTGAACAAAATAAAGTCATTTGCGGTGCAATCCAGATGAACAGGTTGATATTTAATTAATTGTAATTTACGAGCGGTAAGAAATATATCAACAATTAAGGAATTAAATGAAAGCTTAATGTTAGGATAAGCCAAAAAATACCGTAAACCGATCATTTAATACATACGACATATACATAAAGTCATTACTCGGAGAATCGCTTTCAACATTTCGAGTTTCTTATTGTATTCGTTCATTTCTAACGTTTTATTCTCATAATACCTGCACAGAAGACAGATCTATGCATCAAACATTATAGCACTTTCTATTCTTTTCAATAATAAAACTTTTCAACAGGCAGCATAGTAAATGTTAGTAGAAAATGACAATAACTACTAACATATTCTTTGGACTCTTGAGATTAACTAGAATTTCAGGAAAAGTTTGTGGATATTTTCCTGTTAAATTAATGAGAAATTAAATTATAGAAGCACGATAATTAGTTCTGTTAAAAATGTGACAAATTTCAAAAACACATTATTTGATGGTTTGACAAGATTATGTAGATGTAAGATAATAATAATTATTATTATTATTATTAATACTCAGTTTATTCAGCAACTTGTACTTCATTGAATCTTGTTGATAATTTGACAAATCAGAGTACTTAGTAAGAATATGGTAGGTGGCTAATCAGTTCCCAAAATTCAATTGCCTTAAAACAATGTAGAAACATAGTGATCTAGTAAAAATCATGGAATATAAAAACACGTGTTCAAGGAGCTGATATACCGACTGAGACTGGTTATTTCGGCCTTAAATATTAACAGTGGAAAAGTGTAAGTCCTTAAAAATAATAAAATCTGGAAGCGATCATTATAGTCCAAGCAGGTAATCTTTAAGCAAAACATCAGAACTATACAGTGGCGATGATAAAAAGATTAGATAAACATTAAACAGGTACAGAACAATTGAATAAATAGTTTTGAAACAGTCATCATTCTGTAGTCTGTTTTTCCCTGACTCTATTTCAATCAAGACTAAGAATGGAGAGACAAATAACTTGCAACCAATTGAAGTAACCCTGTCAAAAATCTCATCAACCTGATAATTTTTTGCCTAAGAGTTTACGTATTGGATCAACAGTGGTACATAACATGTTTCAATATAAGTACGAATGATTTGATTACTTGTGAGTATTGGAATTTAAGCAAAAACTTAATATTTACAGATAACTAGTTTGTGAATGAGGCTCGTACTGATACTGACACTGATGAACAATGACCTTAAAACTGTGAAATCTACGAAGAAATCTAATTAAAAAGGTAAAACTAATTTTATTGATATTGTACAGAATCATGTTGTTGCATCAATAAAGTCGAATAATATTGAATAATGGTACCTAACCATAGTCATGTAAACAGAATTCAAACAAATGAATTAATCAAACATTAGCACCATGAATAATTTCGCATAACCACTATCCTTTGCTTTGCCAATTATTCATCAAAACGAATAGCTGACTAATCATCTTGACGAAAGCAGGTATACTAGTTTTACAACATCCACAGACGTATACATACATATATTTATGAATCATTAAAATGTTAATGGTATAATTAGGGTAGCTAGCAACCACCACAAAAGGTAACAAAAATAAATAAAGATTCATGATTTTAGATTAGTCATAGGAATTATGGTATTGATCATAATTATTCGTGTATACATATTCATATTGATGTGTGCTTTTACGATTATGTAATACACCGATGGCAATAGGTATACAGCATCAAACCAACAAGATGAAAGAGAATATAAGTCAGTGTTCTTCATGAATTCGATATTCACTGAAAACCAATAGGTATGGGATAATTATAGACTCGCGCATAATTGGAACACCCATTTATCAACACAAACAATAATAATAATAATAACCATTACTACTACCAATAGAAATGATAAATAATCATACATTCAGTTGACCTTATACAATGTTTTGTATTTTCACGCCATAATTGCTCCACCATACATATAATCACACCCATATTTTCCAATGATTAATAAATGTGGACAAAGTAAATAAGAAAAGGGAAAATTGATAATGAATAATTCACTCGAGTTTATTACTATCAAGAAAGATTTGCATTGAGGTATCATATATACATACATATACGTTATTAACCAGGGTACCGATCCAAAGAGTTTAAATTCATTTCTTTGAGGTTCATTTGGTCAATACCATTAGTTCATAAGTTTTAATTTGGTTACCGAAATGTATTTCATTTTACAATCTATATAGAAGTTTTTTGCATTTAAACGGATTATTTATGGATTAGTCCTATGAGGTCAATTGTGCATAGGTACATTTTTACATTATTTATGGGACAAAGGTATAAAAGAATTTGTATCAATAAATCATCGTTGTGCTCAAGCCGCTATACAACATGCGAAAGCTACGGCTCATCTATGGCTAGAAATTTTTGCAGTACGAAAGTGGTTTAGATCAGTCACTATACTTCACTTACGATATTTATTTACTAAGTTTGAAGGACTTTATATTTTGATTTCCAATTATAGAACACAATTTACTTCGTCACAGTCTAACGATCACATCGTCCAGTTAAAAACTTTCCAGTCATCTCGTACAAATAATTTAGATGTACTGAATCCTAAGGACAAGTTGAAAGGGACATCTGAGTTGGTGGAAAAGTGATGGAAAAACCCGAGAGGTTAGACAGTAGATAATTTAGTACATCTCCGTAGTTTGTAGTGTTGGTTGCTATGTTAAGCACACATAGCTTATTCAGGCTTCCAGACAAGCCGATTTATTCATTCTTCTTAAATCACATTTGACCTTGTTAATTATTCGCTTATCAACCTTGACTGTTTTTATATGAGCGTATGTGTGTACATTTCTTATCTTATTCATCACATGTCTGTAACTTACTTTCGTGTGACTATAAATATCGATTAACGCTTAATCAAATTGAGTTGGCTTAAATGCCTTCTCCACCGCGCGTCATTTCGCTTCGCTTCTCCGATAGTTTGCCTGGACCAACGATTGTATGAAATATATATAATCGAAATCCATTCTCGTATTTGATTTATTTAATTCCGTTATCCACTAACGTGATTTAAGTCGATGATTATATACGAGGATTGGCGACATGTATATTTCGATGACAACCATTCATACGATCTAAGTGTAGTTAGATATAGGGCCACTAAAAGTTTATACTATTAAAAACCTAAATGGACTCCTGAATTTATAACAAATACACACAGCAATGTAATAATATAGTCAGTTAAATGTAATGTAGAACCAGGCACACGTGTACATCAGTTTAAGTTGCCGCACCTCATTAGCACAACGAGATGAAATTGTTAGAACGAATCCCAGGAAAGTAGAGGTAATAACAGGATTAACAGTACTAGAAAAGACTATACATCAAGGGTGAAACTTGAGAAAATGTAAGTCAGCGAAATATTAGAAAAGAAATCAAAAGGAATTTAAAAACTTAGGATCTAAGGTAAGGCAAAGAAAGTAAATGCTCCTGAGCTATTCCAAAAGATTTTGAGCCATGTCATTTAAAGTCTCTAACCATTAGTTACAATGATTACGCGGATTATAAAGTTAGTTTGTATTTAACAACATGGCTTAGTCCGACAGTGAGCGATGATTGGAACTAAGTCAATTGTTAAACATATAAATCAACACTGTGAAAAGAACAATCATAGCAAGTCCGTTATTACCAGACAACTTCATATAAAAATAACCTGAGACATTTAACAGACCCTACTACCTGTTGGGGAGATCCAGTAAACTCCTCGAAAAAAGCCACGAAAGGCTCTGAAAACACTGAAAAACATCTTATCCAATCAGCGTTCACTAGAAGTTTTGCCAGAAACATCAAGAAAGTTAAAAGTCACATGTCGAGTCTCTGATTGGATGATTACCGTACTGCTACTATGTTTAGTAGCATTCCAGAATTTTCGGGAAACCCAAGGACATCTAAAACACTATAAAAACCCTCTATTTTCTGTACAAAACGAACCTTTGAAGTAGTGTTCCTTACACACTTCGCGCCTTTTCTCTCATGTTCAAGTCTCTGTGTAGTTTTAGTCTGGGGGTTACTAGAAGAGCTTAGGGAATTAACCTAGCGTTCAATTAGCAAGACTTATCACTACCACCGTAGATTTCGTCAAGCCAGAAGCTGTCTAGAGCACGTAATTGTATGAATATATTACAGACTAACACATATGCAGAACCTTATGTATAGGATTTTCAAGGTTAGGTGGCATAACGTAGGCTTGGTGAGGCAATTCATTTTATTAGCTAATTATCATTTCATTGACCTTAAATAAAATATTTGGTTGCTACTTATTTATGAAGTATGTACAAAAACGGTTCATTGTGTTATCCATACAATCTTCACTTCCAATCTATGATCCCTTCAATGAATCATTCACATAATGCTCTTGATTATTCAGTTGGACAAATTTAGACTATGGTTACGTGAGTGTATCAAACTTAAGTACATTCAATGAACAGCTTTCATACAGTCGTATAGATTTACCCCTAACCTCATTGGGAATGCAACAAAATTTCAATTGCCTTTCGAAAGATATATGAGTGGATACAAACCAGTCAGCAATGTTTATTAGGTATCCCAAAAATGTATAAGCTCTGGACAACTTTATCAACAGGTAAACAAATTTAGTTTGGCGGATCTAAAAATAAACTATTCACTGACCAAAACAATGTTAGCAGTTGTGCAATAAATCATTAATTCAAGTCGTCACAAAAAAATGAGAACATAAACAAATTGGAAATATAGTCTCCAATACATTTTATTAAGTTCAAAAATAGTGCTCTTGAAGTATATCACTTAGAGTTCACAGCAGCGAAGTCTAACTACTGCGTATAAGTCAATTAATCCATTTGTAGAAAATGGATAGCCAGTATTTTAGATATGTCAATTTCTATCACATAGAAAGCGAAGCATAACTGCCTACAAAATATTTTCTATTTGTAGCAGTTAAGACACAAACACAAACAAAATCTTATTAACATCATTTACATCATTTCTTTGAAAACCCTGTGCCCAAAGTAGGAAATAGGCAAATTCAACTCAAATATAAACCTTTAAAACAATAAAAATTAATAAGTTCATTACTAACCTTTTCGACATCAAATTGTGAATGACTCTGATCAGCGTTGATGCGTTCATAGTCTTCTTTAGCCTTGATCATATCACGATATTTATCTCGATATCGTTTAATTTCATCATCGATAATACGTGTTTGAGATTTTAGTTCATTTGATAATTTTGATCTATAAGAAACGCATAATTATTATGAATACTATTGTTTTCTGAGTGCTTTGTGGTGGTTAGATCATGTCTCAGGCCAACACTGCCTTGCGAGTTTTATTTATTTGAACACATAAATATTGGTACAAAGAGGCACCAAATACATATGCGCCACACAAAATTTCATTTAATTTGCGTGAGGGCCGTAATACTGTCCGGGTGTCCAGACCGAAGCAAGTGGTTTTCTTAAGGGTCCACACAAAAAGCCTTTGATTTAAAGGTCTAATCCACAAGGCAGTGGGTCAACGTCAGGAGATGCAGTTTCATGGTAGCCGGTGATCGACAATTGGTTCATACGCCATTTGTTCCTTAAGGATCCTGGAGCCCTTGTCCACCACCGGTTTGGGATCAGGGTTTTCCAACTCCCCCTGGGTGGACCCTCTGTACCCTCCAATTTCGTAAGCAACATCCCCGCTGCGAGTAAGCAGTGAATAGGACTTTCCTGGCAGTGGCTGTATATGTGTGGCCATGTAAGAGCATTTCGAGGAGAGCGGACTTTTCACACCCTCGACCATGCCAGGGAAATTGGGGTCAATGCTAACCAAAGTATACTGAATAAATCGGAGTCATCGATGATACGAGATCATTGATACTTCTGAGCGCTAAGCGAATATTTACCGACTCTTACTTTAATGATCACGAACGGGAACTACTTATTATATTCTTCTCGGTCTACTAACTAGAGACAGAATAAAAAATCTGTCCAGATTTGTTAATAGAGCTCATTGTATACTACTTTCATCTACTTACTTTTTTATCCATATAACTACTGTTTTTATTAGATTCACCTTCCTTCGTCCATGTTTTGACAACTTCACTCACTGGTGTGGCATATAGTATTTTGGTGCATATTTGTACAAACGCTTATATTTCAAATAAATAAATGATACAAATGAATTTATATGTCTACAGACTTTATTGCAGTGATTAGCTGTCAAAGAATTTCACATCGATTTCATACAGATGGCCATCGTCGTGAATAGATTATACTAAATTGACACGAAAACTGATATGATGAGCAATGTCTTAATTAACTAGAGGACGGGTGACATGTGAAATCGATTTTCTCCGACTATTTATCGAATATAATCACATTTTAAGAAAAAAAATATTCAACATTGGTTTCAACTAAGTAAGACATTAGTTTCATTTAATTTTTACATGTATTCAGTATATTATTCCTGAATCACTTGTATCATGAATTTCCATCAGTATAACAAGTCAAATAAATGGATATCACGCTGAATTATTTGCTTATTAATTGATACAATGAAAGTTGCCTCGCATTAATACGAAATCTAGCCAAGCAAAAACCGCATTCCACCATTATTTAATCTTAAACTTTCCTTGCTAACAATCACTACGCTACATTGGGAATCGACTGAAGTTGAAAATGTAAACTACTTGATTTCCAGATACCATGAAGACTATGGGTTTTGATTTCGATCCTGTTTAAGAGAAATTAGTATTATCTACTGAGATATTCCAGGCGAAAATGAGTTGTTCAGCGTTCACTGTTTCAGTAGATACAAGTGTGCCCCCAGATGCCCTGGTACGGTTGGGGGTGTGGAGAGTCCGCTCTCCTCGAAATGCTCTTACATGGCCACACATATACAGCCACTGCCAGGAAAGTCCTATTCACTGCTTACTCGCAGCGGGGATGTTGCTTACGAAATTGGAGGGTACAGAGGGTCCACCCGGGGGGAGTTGGAAAACCCTGATCCCAAACCGGTGGTGGACAAGGGCTCCAGGATCCTTAAGGAACAAATGGCGTATGAACCAATTGTCGATCACCGGCTACCATGAAACTGCATCTCCTGACGTTGACCCACTGCCTTGTGGATTAGACCTTTAAATCAAAGGCTTTTTGTGTGGACCCTTAAGAAAACCACTTGCTTCGGTCTGGACACCCGGACAGTATTACGGCCCTCACGCAAATTAAATGAAATTTTGTGTGGCACATATGTATTTGGTGCCTCTTTGTACCAATATTTATGTGTTCAAATAAATAAATAAATAACTAGTGACGCAAGTTATTTTTATATTACTACTAGTGTTAACATTGTCATTATTATCGATCACAAAATAAAACAAAATAGTAAAACAACAAAATATGTATCTAACCTTTCATTTTTCCATCTTTTCAATTGTCTTCTTTCATCTTCAATAATCGATTTACCTTCGCTACCAGCGTGTATTTCGAAGGAGCATGAAATTAAGTTTTCAGCATCTACGATATGCTGAACAATTTGAACAAGTTCATTAAAAAATGAAACATAGCTATTAGAAACACCAAAATATTTCTGTGCATCAGACAAATGTTTTTCACATAATCGCCTGGACAACAGAAAAACAAAAATTTAACATGGTATGCATAGACAAGTTTACTTTTGTGCAATAAATGCTTCCTTTTGTAGCTTGGCAAAATCGACCAGAAATTTGTATAATCTTTCATGAAGATTTATACCAATATCATGATATTTGATATAGTTAGTAGCTTGATCCTACAAAAATCAAATGAGGAAAAAACCGAACCATAATTTGTAAACAAAACTACTAAAGAATTAGTTCAGTTTAAAGAAAAGTAACTAAGCAAATATTATTCAAGTTAGATTGGGTTATGGAAATCCAAGTTTATTTTAAAGGGGACTTATCTGTTGTCATAAACTGATGGAGGGACTATTAAAATCAGAGCATTCTGAAAAACTGTTTCTTACTAGTTTTCGAGCTAAGAAGAAATGAATATTTACGATCTTACACTGGATCAAATTCATGATACATAAGTCTAGCGGTGAACATGATATGTTGGTCCACTAAAAAGGTCCAGTACAGTTGCTTCGTCTAATATATAAGACAAAAACGACCTTAAGCACAACAGAAAAAAGTAAGGTATGAGAGTAAAGTTATTTTTCTAATATCACTGTCAATTTCTTAGATCAAATTTGTTTTATGATTTCAAATAACTGTAGACTATTTTTAACAATACCTTTGCTACATTTTCTGTTCTATTAGCTACTAATGCTCTCGATCATCGCGCACAATCCTAACCAATATGTATTTCAACTATTGCTGGGCTGGTGTTATTATCCCACAAAGAATCTATACCAATCTTTACATTTTGTATCTCACAAACAAAATTGGTTGCCAGACTGACTTTTTACAGTACAACTGTTATCGACGACAAGTTAACATGAGATAGAGAAGACACCTTCGATTTATTATCCTGAAAAAATTCGATTTTTTGTTTCGGCACGACTATGTACGTAATACTTTTTGATCTACAAATTGAAGCTATTCCCACATTTGCGGGTCAACAAGAAGAAAACGGCGAGACTATAATCTATGGACGAACCAATCAGATTTAGGATGACAGGTCTTGGATTTCGGCGTGAAAATCATTAATCCGTTTAGCTAAATAGAGTTTTGGCATTTTAGCTGATGTCAGTTCATGATGAAAACCATAAATCTAATTCCTAGCCCCAACCATCAATTGTAAATCATAATCCTTATTTTTCAAACTGCTTCATAATCCCCATTTGGCTCCAGTAAGTTGGTGGGGATTCTCAATGTCACTTTAACGCCGCTCAAAGGTCGTCCATAAATTAATATTCATTTATTTATTATTTTAACACATAGATATTGGTACAAGAAGGCACCAAATACATGTGCGCCACACAAATCTCATTCGATATGTGTGAGGGCTGTGATGCTGCCCGGGTGCCCGCTCTCCCTCTCGAAATGCTCTCACATGACCACGCGTATATAGCCTCTGCCAGGGAATTCCTACTCACTGCCTTCTCGTGGCGGGGGTGTTGATTACGAAAATGAGAGGACGAAAAGCGAATGTCCGGCGCTCTAACCGGATTCCAAACCAATGTTACACATGGGCTCCAGTATCCTGAGGGAACAAATGGCGTATGAAACGATTGTTAGTCACCGGCTATCATGGGACTGCATCTCCTTATGATGCTCCACTGCCTTGTGGATCAGACCTTCAGGTCGAAGGCTAGGGGAGTGGCTCCCTAAGAAAACCACCTCCTTCTGTGTGGGCACCCGGGCAGCATCACAGCCCTCACACATATCGAATGAGATTTGTGTGGCGCACATGTATTTTGTGCCTCTGTACCAATATCTGTGTTGAAATATATAATAAAATAGCTAATATATTTCTGTAATAACGTCCTTTGTGTTGTACAGTCTTCAAAGCATCTATAGTACCTCGATACGTCTATGGGGCAATCCAAGTAAGGTGCTGACAGCGAGGTGTGACTTCGACGTTAGCTGGTTCGTCACACCATCCCCATCTTACTTTAGTAGACCCCTAATCATTCGACATAGATCATCTATGCTGGTGATTTACAGTATTTTAAGTAAAAAAAACCAGCGTTGAACAACGATAGGACGGGAAAATCGAGGTCAATTATACCTAACTACTCTGATGGCGATGGAAGGAGTAGTTTTACTGTACAGGAAACAAAACTATTTCTGGTAATCTGGATGCATAGAGCAAGGTGTAACTCTAAGGACCGATCTGTACCAAATTTACTGGTAACATAATTTATGGATGACCTTTGAGCGACGCTAGTGATCTTGGGAGAAATTGTCTACTCAGTAAGTTCGAAATTGTTCAATAAATACGCGCGTAGTTTTAGGGATGAGACTGATTTATAGACAACCTTTGAGCAACATAGAAGTGACCTTGAGTGTCTACCTACTTACTAGGGCTAACTGAGGGTTGTGAAGCAGTTTGGAAAATAAGGATCAGGATTTACAACAGATAGTTGGGGCTAGGAATCAGACTACGGTTTTTCAACACGAACTGACAATAGCTAAAATGCCAAGACGCTATTTGGACGAATGAGTGAGTGGATTTCGTGCCAAGATTCAAGACCTGTTATCCTAAGTCTGATTTGTTCGTCCAAAAATTACAGTCCCGCCGAATTATGGTTAGAATTTCAAGTTAGATGATATGGTTGAGGATTAAGGTACGAGTTTTCGCCACAAACCGACACTAGATATGATCACAGAATGCTGTTTGCCCATACGAAAGAACGCATGTTAATATTAGAGCAATATGAATCCTACTACAAGTCATTTCTTCTTTACTATACAACAAGAATACAAACCAAGTGGGGCTCATGGTCGAACGAAAACCTAAAAGGGCTCTCCAGTACCGTTAAACTGGGTCGTGGGAACTTATTTCGTTGTCTGAGATCTTTCCGTAAGTTCGTTTGTTAAAAATTCTCCGCATGTCTTCCTAGCTCCTATGACCTCCAAGACAATTTCAGAGTCACTGCCTTCAACATTCACTCACATGGATTGTCTAACAACGTCGTACTTAAAAATTATTAAATACCGAATCGAACGAATTAAAAAACGCTCCAGAACAAAAACACTTACCCAAATACTAACCCATGAGGACATTTGGACCATTTTGCGAACATCAATGCATCCCTGGGTAACGCACAATGCAATTTGCCACCAAGACTAATGGTTCAAATGGTTCAAATAGTTGTGGACGGAATAGAAGAAGCTTTCGCTTAACAGGCTTCCGTGTCTAGTAGCAGGGGATCACCAAATCCTCCAGGCAGGAACCTAGGTATGTTAACAATAAAAGAGGAAAAGAAATTGGTAAATCATAGTGTGATACCATCCTTAGTCCTTAAGAATAGATCAAGTTGCCTCTTAAAGGACTCCTGGGAAGTCGCTTGGACTAGCTCGGCCGGCAGCGAATTCCAGCATTTGACAACTCTTAAGGAGTGGAAGTTGTGTTTACAGTCCGTTCTGCTATGTTGTGTCTCCAGTTTCTGGGTGTTACCCCTTTGGTTAGTGTTGGAACTAAGCTTAAGTAGGTGTTTAAGAGGATGTCCAAAAGTGTTAAGGATACTGTAAGCCATTAGAAGGTCACCTCTAAGACGTCTATACTCTAATGGGTAAAGGTTAAGTGAATGGAGGCGCTCTTCGTAAGGTTTAAATTTGAGTCCTCGAACTGATTTCGTGGCTCGCCGTTGGATACGCTTCAGGGTGTCCTTATCCTTTTGGAGTGGGGAGAAATACTATGTTTCCGTACTCTAAATGGGGACGGATAAAACTATTGAAGATTATATAGAAAGTTCTTCCGTCAAACTGGCCAAAAATGCGTTTCAATGTTACCAGTGCAAGATTTGCTCGGAAGGCATTTTTGTCACAGTTAGCGTAAGACTTCAAATCGTAGGGCACCAAGACTCCTAAATCTTTTTCGACTTGGGATACTACTAGGGAGGAGTTTCCTAAGTTATAACTGTAGTCTGTGACATGTCGCAGATGGACTACTTTACACTTTGAAGTGTTGAAGGTAAGTCCGTTATCGTCTGCCCAACTTTGAAGTCGAGTCAGACCCTCCTGAAGTGCCTGTAGATGGTCTTGATTGCGTATCTCTCTCCAAAGTTTCACGTCGTCGGCAAAAAGTAATAAGTCTGGCGTTACCTGTTGAGGAAGAACATTTATGTAGATCAAGAAGAGAAGAGGTCCTAGTACTGAGCCCTAGGGGACCCCACTAGAACATTCCATAGCCTGAGATAAAGTGAAATTAACCCTGACCTTAAATGTCGATTTTTCATTTATGAAGTGAGCCAATCGATTAGAGGTGGTATGATACCTAATCGTTTGAGCTTATTGATAAAACATGTATGGTTAACCTTATCAAAAGCTTTTGAGAAATCTAGGTAGATGATATCAACCTTCCCCTTGTGATCAAGGATGCTTGTCCATCTGTCCATCTCAGTCAGCAGGTTGGTAATACAAGAGTAACCCTTCCTGAAACCATGCTGTTGGAGTGAGGAGAAATTTAAGGACAGTAAATAGTCATTTATACCATCGCATATCAGGGACTCCATGGTTTTTGAAGATACTGAGAGAAGAGCCACCGGTCGGTAACTTGAAGGTTCACTGCGTTGACCTCCTTTGAAAATTGGTGTGATGTGAGCCAGCCTCCAATTTTCCGGTAGTTTTCCTCGACTTAGCGAGTGTGAGAACATCACGCTTAGCGGCGTTGGCAAGATTGAGGCTGCTTCCCTCAGTATGGCGGAATGGACCATGTCCGGGCCAGGAGAAGCGTCTAATCTTAAGTGCTGCAGTTTCCGGAACACCAAGTCAGCGCTTAGGTTCACTTTGGAAAGTCCTGTGGAGTTGCGAACGAAACTGTCATCAGTAAAGTTAACGTCGTTCGGTTGAAATGTCTGGGAGTAATGTTCAGCCAGAAGGTTAGCGGCGTCGCCATCGTTGTTGGTCAGGCCGTTAAGGCCTACCAGTTGGGAAACTCCAGTTTTGGCTCGACGAAGAGAGGCTGCATAAGGGAATAAGCTTTTAGGATTAGAGGCAAATTTGTCCATAAGCTTTGTCTGGTACTGAGGCCTATCTTCTCTTATAGCCTTCGTGCATATGTTCCTTATATGTTTGTATTGCCTGCACGCTCCATTGTTGTCAGTTCATTTGTATTCCGCCCAACAGTGCCATAACGCGAAGTGAAGTGTGATGAGTGATTCAAAAATTTTTTTCATTGTGATAATGGAATAAAATAAGCTAGCTTAAAATTCAGAAGAAGTAGAGAAATTTGTTTAAGCTAGTCCTAGTGACTTCCCAGGAGTTCTTTAGTAGAAAATTTGACTTATTCTTAAGGACTAAGGATAATATTTTACTATGATTTGCCAATTTCTTTTTCCTCGACTATTGTTAGTATACCTAGGTCCCTGCCTGAAAGTATTGGCTATCCACTGCTACTGGACACGAAAGCCCGTTAAGCAAAAGCTTCTTCTATTCCGTCCACAACCGTTTGAACCATTTGAAATGTGATAGATTAAAAATGCTAAATCCTGATATATTCTCTTCTGGTATGTCTAACAATCCGTATACCTTCAGCCTAAGGATATTAAGGTTTATAACTAGTTTGAATTTGGCAAAACGTATAGTGGTCCCCCTATTTTTGAATAGCGTCCAGCAGTTCTAGTTTTGACGTTATTTAACACATTAGTCAAACACTTGATTTTACGACCTTTCCTGTGTATCTGGATTAAGATCTCAGTTAGGCATGCTTGTTGCTATTGCAACGGTAAATAACTCAATAAAATGAATTGTCCTGTAAGCCTTCTACAATGATGCTGACATCATTAGGTTTATTGGACACACCATAACTGGAAGTGTTTGATCATACATCCACAGTACATAATGAATAAATATTCCGTGCTAAAAATCCCTGCCAACAACTAGACAACTTAGATTGAACTCTCCAAATAAAACTGTCACTAAAAAGATCTGTTTCTAGGCCACGAAAACCAGATAACCCTGGTTAGTGTTGGTACCACAACAAATGCAGTAGGTCTGCTAGGTATTGCAGGAAATCCTGCAGTTTTCTCGACCTTAAACCTTCCCATGTATACAAACGACTATCTACAAGATATGGTCATCAACAGTCAGGTGGGAAATGGAAAACCGACGACTATATCTATTGAGAGTTGTGTTTATCTTAAGGTGGGTTTACGCATACCCATACCCATTTCCGTTGTGACAAATGTTTCAATCATTGGCATAGATCTGCTGTAATACAACAATCTACTAATCAACACAAGCAAATGGAGGTTATTATATGAAAATTTTAAATTGTCTATTCTCTGAATTTCATTTTACGGTTGTGGGTTATGCCCAGTCATGTTTAGAAATATAATAGATACGTATTTGTAACAGGTTCATGACCAGCACCCGGGAATACACAAAACAAGACCGAAACTTCCTTAGGTATGGAGTAATGTTATACACCATATCGCGACTACATACCACCTGTATTTTTAAAAACGTGACACGTAGCTCCAGAAAACCTGAGGTTGTTCAAAAATGAATTTTATCACATGATAAACTTCTAGGTTATTCGGTCCCTATGTATCTCCCTTGCACACAATCCCCAGAAAGGATAGCAACGATTAGTGTACAACTGATGATTATCGGCGAGAGAATAAAAAACAGCTCCCTATCTTTGTATGCTGTCAGATATTGACGATCTAAAAGCTACCTTCAAAGGTACAACTGTTTTCCCAAACATTGGTCTGTTTAAAGCATATAAACAAGTTCTCATGGCTGCTGACGGCAGTCGAAAAGTGACTATCACATATCCCTTTAAGCTCTAAAAACTTTCAAGAATAACTTTCGGTTTAAGAACTTCTACACAAACTTTTCAAGGATTCATCGATGACGTCTTTAGAGGTCACAACTTCGTGGATGTGTATGTTGATGGCCGCTTGATCGCAATTCCGGACGTAAAATCTCATCTCTAGCACACGGAATGCAGAAACACATCATTTCTGTAAACATTCAGAAATTTCAAATCAGAGCCGACTATCAATATTTTCTCGAACACACTACTGATGTTCAATGCATCAGCCCTCTGCGAAGCAAAGCGGAGGGCATTCTGGATTACCCGGAACAGATGTCAACCAAGCAGTTACTTACGTTCATCGACATGATAAGTTTGCGTCCATCAAGCGAAAACATGTCACCTTTCTTTCTAGCTCATGTTCAGACTAGTATTCTACACGACAGTCTCTACAACTAGATTACATTTGCAGTCCACTTCAGATATACAACATATTTCTGGGGCAAGCGATCTAGTCGCAATCTTCTTGATTCGTTTAACTTTCTAAAGAGTTTGAATGAAATCATGCTTCTTAAACTCACCCAGCTTCAAAAAGAGGAGACCGATCTTCAGGACGAGTTATTTTCGATTACCCTTGAATTACAGATAGGGATTGTTCAATTATGCCCAAACATTATCTGCGCAGTGTGTCTGACACGTTGCACAAACTTACCCACCTGGGTGTTCGCGCAGTCATCAAGCTTACGCCAGAAAGTTTCTTCTGGTCTGGTGTGAATGAAGACGGGAAAGTTTGGGTAGGCTGTGTAAGCTACCGGAATCTAAAGTGATTGAACACAATAAATGTCCGTGGGCTAATTCAAAACTTCCTATGCTTGTTTCAACCATTTTCATCTGGAGTTGGTAGGACCTTTACTAGAATAAAATGGATACTCTTATCTATTAACTTCCGTAAACCGTTTCACTCGATGGTCTGAAGTAGTACTCATCTTGCACATTACTGCTGAAACAGTGTCCCGCACCTTCGTCAAACTGTGGGTAGCAAACTTTGGCGGCCCCTCAACTATCACTAAAGACCGTGGAAGCCAGTTCAAATCTAGAATATTCCGTTGTCTGACCACAACATTAGGAATCAAACGACTTCGAAAAACCACCTACCAACCACATGCAATCGGGTCGGTAGAACGATTTCACCGACAGCTAAAAGCTTCCATTGTTGAATTATGGTCTACTATGATATTAGTACTGCTCCAATAATAGACCTAATCCTAAAATTGCACATTCGTCATGATGTAACTGCCTAATCTACAAGATC